TATCATCGCTAGTGTTGGTTGTCGGTTGAGGAATTATGAGTGGAGTCGTGTCGTTCGATTGTACCGAAGGAAAATCGACGTGAATAGGATTTCCTTCTAAATACGCTGCTTTTAAGCGATCGATGCTGATGCTATCGTTGGTTCCGTTCTTATCGACTATATAGTACTTAGATTCACGTTGAAGAACTTTGAAAGGTCCTTCGTATGCTGATTCGAATGGTCGTCGATGCGAGTCTCGACGAACGAAAACGTGTGTACTATATCGTAAGTCAGGTTGAACGAAAACATCAGTTGATTGAGGTCGAGTGGAAGCAGGTTTAACTGAACGCATTGCGTTTGTAAGCCTGTTCGTGTAGGAGGTTAGATCCATGTTCATCGAAGAGCACGAAGGATCCACGAATTCTCCTGGAAGTCGAAGTGTCGTTCCATAAACGAGTTGAGCCGCAGTGTATCCAATGTCAGCTTTCACTGCATTGCGGATACCTAGTAAGACGAGTGGAAGAGCGTCGGTCCACTGTGAAACGTTTGCAGCTGATAGTGAAGCTTTCAGTTGTCGGTGAAAACGTTCTACCAACCCGTTTGCTTGTGGGTGGTAGGCGGTCGTTCGGAAGCGAGTGATTCCTAAAAGTGTGGTCAGACGACGGAAAAGATCAGATTCAAACTGACGTCCGCGGTCTGTAGTGATGGTTGAAGGGCAGCCGAAGTTTGCTACCCATCGTTCGACGAATGTGCGGGCCACTGTTTCAGCAGTGATGTCCTTGATAGGTACTGCTTCTGGCCATCGAGTGAAACGGTCTACGCAGGTTAAGAGATAAGAGTATCCATTTGAATCTGGTAAAGGTCCTACCAAATCCAGATGAACATGGTCGAAACGAGCATCGGGAGTTTTAAACGAGCCTAAGGGACATTTATTGTGTCTGATAACCTTAGATTTTTGGCAGCTTACACAGGAGCGTGCCCACTCCCTCACGTCTTTATTCATGCCAGGCCAGCAAAATCGTTCTGCTATAAGCTTGATGGTTGCACGAACACCTGGATGAGAAAGTTTGTGCAATGTATTGAAGACATTGCGTCGATAATGTTTCGGCACGATTGGGCGATCCCTACCTGTAGATGTGTCACAAAGTAAGGTTTCCTTACCTGTTCCCATCTGTTTGATGCGTAGTTTAAGTGTTGTGGACGATAACTCGTGCTGAAGATCAGTGTCTTCTTTTTGAAGCTCGGCGAGTTTAAGAAGGTCGATTCCTTGGAAACTGTTCAAGGAAGTTATGCGAGATAAGGCGTCTGCAACTACATTGTTTGCTCCAGAGATGTGTTGAATATCTGAAGTAAACTGCGAAATGTAGTCCAGTTGTCGAGACTCACGGGGAGAGTACTTGTCAGAAGGAGAGCTTAACGAGAAAGTGAGCGGTTTATGGTCCGTGAAAAGAGTGAATTCACGGCCTTCGATATAGTGTTGGAAATGCCGTACAGCACAATACATAGCTAGGAGTTCCCTACCGAATGTGCTGTACCTCGATTCGGTGTCTAGCAACCTTCTAGAGAAAAATGCCAAGGGTTGCCAGGAGTTGTTAACCCATTGTTGTAAGACTCCTCCGATTGCCGAGTCGGATGCGTCTACTGCGATGCTAATGGGTGCTCGGGTGTCCTGATGTGCGAGCATTGTTGCTTTAGCAATCAGTTCCTTAACTGTGGAGAATGCTTTTCGTGCGGTGTCGTCCAAATTAATGGATTTCGCATTTCCACGAAGTTGGTCGGTCAGAGGTTTCATAAGTAATGCGCATTTCGGTATGAAACGTCTATAGAAACTTACCAGGCCGTTAAACGTGCGTAATTGCTTGACGGTGGTCGGTTCTGGGTAATCCAGAATGGCCGCCACTTTGGTTCTAAGGGGTCGGATACCTTGAGCATCGATAGTGTGTCCCAGAAAGTCTAATGAGTCGGTTCCAAATTGGCATTTCTGAACGTTTACAGTTATGCCATGTTTTTGTAATCGTTCGAAAACAAGGTCCAGATGCTTGAGATGTGTTTCTCTGTCCGGACTTGCGATTAGACAGTCGTCAACATACGCGTGTACGAAGTTGAGACCTCGAAAAACGTCGTCTATGAATCTTTGGAATGTTTGAGCAGCATTCCTTAGACCGAAAGGCATTCGCAAAAATTCATAGAGTCCGAAGGGAGTTATGATAGCTGTTTTCGGTATGTCGTCAGTAGCCATAGGGATTTGGTTATACGCTTTAACCAAGTCGATTTTCGAAAAGACAGTTGTACCTTTCAAGGTAGCTGTCAAATCGTGAATGTGAGGCAACGGGTAACGATCGGGAATGGTTTTCGCGTTCAATCGCCGATAGTCACCAGTTGGACGCCAATCGTTGCTGTCCTTTTTAGGGACCATGTGCAACGGAGATGCATATGGGCTACTTGACGGTCGTATGATTCCTAAGTCCATCATGTGATCGAATTCGTTTTTCGCTAACCTTAGCTTTTCAGGAGCTAGTCGTCGTGCTTTAGAAAATACAGGTGGTCCTGTAGTCGTGATGTGATGTGTAACATTGCTGGTTACACACGGTAGTTTCGGTTGCGTTTGTTGTATCCCAGGGTACTTATCGAGTAGTGGTTGATAGAGTGGGTCTATCATATGCTTAACTGTGACTGGGGATACTCTACAACCAGTAAAAGAAGTTACGCAAACGGACAAATTAGTGTTTCCGTCTACTAGCCTCCGTTTGCGAGTGTCGATGATCAGATTGTGGTGTTGTAGAAGGTCCATACCAATGATTGGCATAGAAACATCTGCAACGACGAAAATCCAGTGGATGGGTTTGCGTAAACCCACGTTAAGGTAAACGTACCTTTTGCCATACGTAGCGATCGGTTTTCCGTTTGCCGCCTGTAAGTTTAGGGTCGATTCGTGAAGTCGGTCGTTAGGATTTGCTGGGAGAACGCTAACTTCTGCGCCAGTGTCGACGAGGTAGCGAACTCTCGTTGTCACATCTGTGACGAATAACAGACGGCTTTGTTCGCCGGCTACGGTTGCCGTTAACGCGTGCCGGCTTGGAAGTTTCCCGAATTGTTTTTCGAATCAGTCGGTTTCGTGTTGGGAAAATTGCAGGGTTTTCTGCAATTTCTGGAAAACTTTCCATACTGGTTATGATACCAGCACCAGTCGGGGTTATCTGTCTCTCGTGGTCTAGAGACAGATCGCTTACGAGAAATGCTTCTACGTGGTGTGCGCGATCTCTTACGGTCGGTACGAAGACTAAGATAACGCGTGAGTGTGTGACATAAGTCGGTTATATCATTCTGAGTCGTGTGAGGCTTTTCTTTGACTGAAAATACCTCGGTAGTAGGTTTCGTAATTTCTAGAATGCGGTCGGCAGATGCAGCTAGCTCGTCTAAGGCGTTGTTCTGGAACGAGACCAGAACTGCTTGCACCTGTTGGGGAAGTTTTGACAAGAAGAGTTGTTTGAATAGACCTTCGTCGAAAGTTCTTGGGCCTATAACCTCTCTCATCCGTTGCAACATGTCTGTCGCAGAACCGTGTTGCAGGTCGATGTTATTGAAGAGTTGATCTAACCTTTGTCGATCGGTTAGGTCTCCTCGTTTAAGAATCGAGCGTTTTAAGATTTCGTAAGGATCGGAAACATCACTAGTAAACATACTAGGTGTTACGTACCTGTTGAATTCGCGCGGTAGTGCCTTGACTACTGCGAGGAATTGTGCACGTGTGTCGATCACGCCGTGCTCGGAGAAGTCGGCTTCTGCGTAGCAAAACCAGGCTTCGATGTTGTCGGGCCAGAAAGGCATCAGTTGAAACGAAGGTGGGGACAAGGTCTTAAGCTTGAGTACTTTAGGTGTCTGTTCAGTCATGATGAAATATGAAGTACGATAATGAACGAGGGGAAAATATATATATATATCCAAGAAAAAACACGAAAAAAAATCACAATGTTTAAAAAAAATAAAAAATAAGGCAATGATATATAAAAATCCCAAAAAGGAACAGACTCACAGTTGCAATAAGGTGTACCAGATCACGACGGTCTCACCAATGATGATGTCACAGGTATTCAGTGTTTGACAACGCTTCTACCAGTAACACCTTCTAATATTTCGTTCCCACCAAGAGAAATCAAAAGACAGAGTCGAGGAGATCGGAAGAGTATATTTGGCGATGACCAATATATCGGAATTCTCTGATCTAATCTGGCTAGCGATTGCGGTTGATGTTGAGCACGGCGTTACCACACGTGATCTGGTGCGGATGCCTGACCGAGCGCCTTCAGCTAGATGAGTCCACTAAAACATATGGTCAGCATCCAATGTCGAAAACTTACAGGGCTATTTATTTTGGGGATTTATTTACCGCTACAAGTGCGTAAACTTGAGTAGCATTCATTGTGGTTCCCTCTTTCTTTGTCTTGGAGGATGTTTTGATGACCCCGAATTCGTGAGATTCTCACCGAATAAGTGTATTTCATGCATCTTTAGAGTGCACCAGTGCAACTCCCTTGTGTACGGAGCATTTTACTCTTCATTATCGGTGTAGAGTAGCACCTTGCCAGTATCTAATATTTGCTGTCCAGCATGGGTCCGATGGGTTTCGCCGATTTTGAGAACCACCCAGTTATATCTCTTCAGTTCCATTGTTATTTAACTGGTCCTCCTGGTCTCCCACATTGTCCGGAAGTTAAAAAGCTCAACAAATAAAGAAAACCCAATATACTTAGTGAAAGCAAATAGACGAAATTGCTTTCGAAAAAAGGATGCTCATTTAGTGCAAACTAATCCAATTAGGGTGAGGATAGTAGTTTTGATGTTTAATAAACGATCAAACTTATAAGTTTAGGTGAAAAAAGAGACATCAGTGCTCTTTTAAATATCGCTTTATATATACCGTATAACTATGTATACCGTATTCGTTGTTTATTAACACAGATACAAAAAATGTAAGCTTATATAAGTCAATCACGACAAATAGTATATCTCGTGGACATTGAGAATACAGTACAAACTTGTCCCCAATTTGGATTTCAAGACACAGCGCTCTATTTGTCTTCAAAGTGTTTACATGGAGCATGCACCGGAGGATTTAATCACTCAAGGAAGGAGAGATTTAGTGTGTGGTGATATTAACAAGGCAGTAGATAATTTTCAAAAAGCTTGTGAAGCTCTGTGAGTCTTGATGATGTTGTTTAATTAACAGGTCGATGATACATGGTGATTTTCATGAAGCTCTTGCTATCCCTAACTTACTGTATGGCACTGCTCTTCTCGAACTATCACGAATAGAAAGTTCAGTTATCGGAAATGCATTGGATGGGAGTAAGTACCTAATGACTTGACTTAACGTGATTAGTACCAGATCCAGACAAAAATGATTCAGAATCGGATGATGGGATCATTGAACATGGGCCTGAATTGACAAGTAAATTGGCATTTGATGTCTCAGTTTTGTAGCTGAAGAGAAAGAAGATATTTCCAATCAAATCATAGATGCTATGTGTGAAGACAAAAAGCAGGAAGAAAATGAGACCAAAGAAGCCGATACACCTAGCGAAGACACTGAAGCTGTAAGCGGAAATGATACTGCTACTGATAATCCGACGGATGACGCTTCTGAAGGAGCTGAGGATGGCGAATCAAACGAATCTGAGGAGGGAGAGTCTGAGAATCAAAATGAGGTCCAGAATAATCCAACAGAATCGGAAGCTGCTAAATCTGATGATGAAGATGAAGTGTCGAATCTTCAAATCGCTTGGGAGGTTATTGAAGTAGCCAAAAAACTGTTTTCACAAAAAGATGACGAAGAGAGTAAACTGAATGTTGCTGAGTGCCTAGAAAAGCTTGGTGAGATTAGTCGCGAGAAAGAAGATTATGACCAAGCAGTATTAGACTTAAAGGTATTTCTTTTGTCCATTCTTATTTATCCTTTAACTTGAACGACAAAACATACTGCATAAGTTCCGTTATCAGGATATGTCCATAGATAATAGGTTCGTCGAGTCAACGATTTTTGGTTTGGGATTCGTTGAATTGAGTTTCGTTAAGTAATAATAGCCTTCATTTGATCTTCGTTGTCCATTTCTAGTTATTACTTACGTTATTTGTACTCTTGGGTCATGGACTGATTATTTTACGTCCATCGATTTGTAAAGAAGCGGAATATTTGGCGGTATAAAGTATAATTGGGTTTGGTCAGGGACTATCGTTTGTACCTTAAATACCAAGTTTTTAGAAAACTAATAATGGTTGTAAAACAAGTGCCAATCAACCTACATATAGCTTCATTCATGTCAGTAATTCATTTACAGTGTGTAGGATTCCAAGTGCTTGTCGTTAAGATAACACTTGTTTGCCATAGCACTGCGATATAACTACTATAAATTATGAGGATATCTCAAACGTGTCCATGTGTATTTTGGCTTCCTAGGCATCACTTTACTTGTACGTTGCGTTATTCTGGTCTGTTCGCAGCCTAGTTTACCATCTTGTAGACCAATAGAAGGTTGAATTTACAAATGTTCTTATTGTATACTATCAATCGTTCATCTGGTTCCAGTTATCGGTTTGTTATGTATCTGGTTGCCTTTCAGACTTGGTACTGTGTTAACACATCAGTATGTATGATTTAAACCCATTGATGTCGACTAGTTAAATATACTCATTTCAAAGGTGCCTATTTCAAAATGTGTCTACTACAGCGGCGAAGTGATAATTGTTTAGTGTGAAGATTGTCGAGCTCTACCAACTTGACCACTTGTTCATTCAGGTTCCATCGTGGCATTTATGTTTAGTAGCGGATTCTTGTAAAAAGCAGCAAATACCAAATCTAAAGATTGGTATTTTAAGCTATTGAGGTGTGGCAACTGACATGACTTTGACACATGAAGGTTAGTAACTTTTTATCTAAACATCCAAGCTGTAAACTAGGTTGTGTTCATAGGATCATTATTTCCAGTTAAAGACCTCGAAAGTGTCTAAAAAGGTACTGATCCACAACAAATTTGAAGTTTCTAAGTGTTTCGCGCCATTTCCCCCCTAAAAAGTTTTAATAAGATTGCTCTCTTGAGTCTAGGACTGTTAGTTTTGAATATAAAGCAGCAATATAGTTGGCCGACAATGCAGCAAGTAGAAATGAAGTAATCTGAATGTAACATGACGGTTTTGAACTATGATTTTTATCCGAATTACATTACTCTGATTCCTCTATTTTTCCATAGGAATGTTTGGAAATCCGTACTTCCATTTTGGGTCAAAAAGATCGTCGTGTAGCTGAAAGCCATTACCAACTGGGAACGACGTATGCCGTTTCTGGAGATTTAGCAAACGCAAGCAGCTCTTTCAAAGCCTCAGTTGAGTGTCTCAAGTTGTTGGCTGAAGATATCAGGTCAAAAATCGAAGCTGTTGACCAGAAAGATGGAGAAGAAAAAGAGCTTCTCCAAGTTACACTTAAAGAGATAGAGCTTTTAATACCAGACGTTCAGAGTCGGTGTGCAGATATTGAGGAAGACCGATTAGCTGAAAGCATTAAACAAACCGAGTCTCCAATGGAACCATGCTCTAATGGTACTAGTGTCCCAACTGATGACATATCACACTTGATAAGGAAAAAACGTCCGGTTACTGAAACGACACCTGTGGAATCTGTAGAAAGTATAAGTCTTGAATTAAATGGTCATGAAAACTCAACTTCCAAGAAAGTGAAGCTTATAAATGCGAATGGTGAATCCCTGCCTAAAGAAAATGGTGTTTAGTTAATTGATATATGCCTATAGATTAAAAACCAATTCCAAAGAATTGCATTTCATTTTTACAGATTTTGTCAGAAATTTTTGTCTATCGTTTTTAAATAATTTATCTGCAGATTACTTATTCCAAAAACAAAGTTCATGTATTCCCTTTGATGTATTGTCTTTCTAACAAGCTAAACGAGGTGGTTGAAAATTTTTTAAAGTTATAGGTATAAACCGAGCAGACGAATTTATAACCGATTGTCACGTTTCGTCGTCCCCCTTTTTCCATACAAACTACCTTCCTCAACAAATTAATATCTTAAGAACTGTTGCTTTCTGTTAATGGTGTAAAGTGTAGGAAGGAATCCTAAAGTCCGAAGGACATGTTAGGACTTTATGAGAATCTGATCCAACTTCAAAGTTTGGCAGATCACAACAAACTAACTCTGGAGATTGTAAGATGTCTGTTGGGTTCGCATTCCAAATCAAATCCAAATTGGACAGTCTCAGTACTGAAGTTTTAGGTGCCTAAGTCTATACGATCAAATGCTGTGGCCAAATTAGCTCGAGCCAGCTGTATATTAGCGATTTCGTAAGCCACTTTGGTTGTGGTTCTCACCACTGGTTGTTCAACTCGGTCTCGTTTGAAGTAAGGCGATATTTCGCACCTCAATCGAAGACAATAAAGTATTTGGAGTCAATTCAAAAATGAGCCTCAAGGTTATTTCGTCAACTAGGGTTCAAATCTTACGAGCGACCACGGGGTCACCATACATTCCTTGTAGTCTACGGCACTATAAGGACATCTGGGTATCTAAACTACTTGGGTTAAGTTTTGGTGAAAGCCATGGGAGCGATACCCGTAAGTTTGGAGTGACAGTTTGCAACCGGAGTTTTTTCTGATTGCACATACGAGCTGTTACTCGTGTTTCCGCAGGTACGTGTTGCCAAATGTAAATCTAATCTGGCTGAGTATTCTAGTCATTAGAAGGGGAGATCGTTGGACGGTAGTGAACTACTAGAGGATCTGATGAACGTGTTGGCAGATACAGACAACATGAAGCTGAAGAAAACCAATAAACTATCCTGCAGAACATAAAGATCAATATACACAAGGCTAATATGAACACCTATCTCAGTAACCGAGTTTCCTATTCACCTAAAAGTCACGTCCTATTCTGAATAGAAGTTGGATTATTTAAAGCTTCAGTTGTTACGATCGTGCGTGTATTACGCGAAAAACTTTGGGAGTGATATCCATATTTCAGGAGGATATTACATGAGTCCTGCTACAAATCTGTCGCGTTTATGGACCTTTCAAGAAGCTTGTTAATCATTAATAAGGCGTTGTATAAATAATATAAAAGGAGATACTTGGAAGTGCATGATATTAAAATTTAAATTTAATTGATTCTTATTACATTTCAGAAAGATTAGGTTGGTATGACCAAGTGTTTTGTATTTGATTAAGATAATCCACTTATCAGTTCAACTGTGCACAGACCACAACCTGTTTCTGGCTAGCACTAACTTTCGGCAGTCATCGCCGATGTGCCACCTGGCGTCCTCTCTCTGCATTTTAAGCCTGGACTGATCGCATCGCGATCAGCTACCGCTGGCGTGGTTGTGTACAAGACTGCCACTCATTTCGGAGTACCTATCCGGATTCTGATTATGCATTTGTTTGCGCTAATCTTACCTTACTTTTCAGTGGCCAACGAAGTGACCGCCAGCAAGGGATTGATATTAGCAAGCTGGTTGCAACTTCTGTTGCAAATAAGTATCGAACCGAGCTAGCCTCTAGGCTAGCTACCACTCCACCGAAAAGTATAGATGAGCATTGGTTGCAATTGCATGACGCCATGAAAATGGCGGGAACAGTCAGTTGTGGGTTTGCGAAACGTCCCGCTTCTAGGCACTGGGTTTCTTCTGGTTCCTTACAACTCATTGAAGCCCGTCGGTCTACTCCGGGTGACCGTGAGTTTGACCATAAACGAAGGATGTTACGTAAGGAAATTGGGCAAAGCTTGCGTAAGGACCGAGAAGCCTGGTGGTCGAAGCGTGCTAATGAGCTGGAAGCAGCAGCTGCATCTGGTAACTACCGGAAGCTCTTCCAGCTCATCCGAGCCACTGGCAGCAAGAAGTCTGGTGTGAGTGAAACAATCTGCGAGGATGATGGGATGCCAATCACTAACATCCATCGACGTCTTGGACGATGGGCAGAATTTTTCGAAGGGCAGTTCAACTGGCCTGCTGCTCCGGCAACATCGGTCAGACTGTCCTGCCCTCCATGGCCGGTGACGACTGATCCACCAAACGAGGAGGAAGTCCGCAAGGAACTCCAACTCTTGAAGCGTTACAAATCACCTGGCCCAGATGACTTACCTCCGGCTCTTTTTAAAGATGGTGGTGACTTTTTGACTAAGGAATTGACGACGTTGTTTACAAAGGTTTGGGAACTAGAGAGTGTACCAACGTCATGGAATGAGTCGATAGTTGTCCCTATCTTTAAAAAGGGTTCACGTCGTTCCTGTAACAACTATCGGGGGATAAGTCTACTTCCGATTGCGTCCAAGCTATTGGCTTCCGTCATACTTCGTAGGTTGTTCAAAACCCGAGAAAGATTGACTCGCGAGGAGCAGGCTGGGTTTCGTTCTGGTCGAGGATGTATTGATCATATCTTCACCCTCCGCCAAATGTTAGAACACCGCCATACTTATCAAAGGCCAACAATCGTAGTGTTTCTTGACATCAGGGCTGCCTTCGATTCGTTGGACAGGACTGTTCTCTGGGATTGTCTATTGAAGAAGGGTGTGCCTGAGAAGTTTATTAACATCCTGAAAGCCCTATATAAAAACACCTCAGGCAGAGTGAGGGCATACAACCACCTCTCTCCATTGTTCCATTCGAGCAGTGGGGTTAGGCAGGGTTGCCCAATCTCACCATTCCTCTTCAACTTTGCCATCGATGACATTCTGGAAACAGCTCTGATGAATGTAAGTAATGGTGGTGTGGATCTGTTGCCTGGAGAAAGACTTCTCGACCTTGAGTATGCGGACGATATTGTCTTACTGTGCGATAATGCCCAAGGCATGCAATCCGCACTTAATCAGTTGGCAATCAGTGTCCGTAGGTATGGTATGTGCTTTGCACCTTCGAAGTGCAAAGTACTTCTACAAGACTGGCAGGATTCCAATCCTGTACTCACCCTGGATGGTGAGCAGATAGACGTAGTCGAGAAGTTCGTGTATCTGGGTAGCTGCATAAGTGCTGGTGGGGGTGTGAGTGATGAGATCAATGCACGTATAGTGAAAGCCAGAGCGGCTTATGCCAATCTGGGCCACCTTTGGCGCCTTCGTGATGTTAGTCTGGCTGTAAAAGGTCGGATCTACAACGCGTCGGTGAGAGCAGTTTTGCTCTATGCTTGTGAAACCTGGCCTCTCCGAGTTGAGGACGTTAGACGACTCTCTGTGTTCGATCATCGCTGTCTCCGAAGGATTGCTGACATTCAGTGGCAACACCATGTCAGTAATGCAGAGGTTCGGCATCGTGTGTTCGGGCACAGAGATGATAATTCAATTGGTGTCACCATCTTGAAACACCGACTTCGGTGGCTTGGACATGTTCTCCGAATGTCGTCCCAGAGAATTCCACGTCGTGCATTATTTGCCGACTCTGGGACTGGTTGGAAGAAGCGGAGAGGTGGTCAGTGCATGACATGGTGTCGTGGCATGAAAGAAAGCTGCAAAGGACTGGCTTGTGTTGGTCCTTCACGACTCCCTGGTTGGGGTCTGAGAGATGGTGCTACACAGTGGCTAGAGACGTTATCAGATATGGCTCAGAATAGAAGCCAGTGGCGATCCTGCTGTAACCTTCTTTTACTTTCTTCATAAAAAGTAGTTGTGTCTCCCTTACCTGAAAGATTTCTTCCGATTGTACCTTTGCGTTCCCTTATTACTAGCACATTACCTTACACCAATCTCTTCGTTATTGTTCTCTTTTTTTTGTTGCGCTCCTTAGCTTTTTCTTTCTTTGTATTCCTCTCGAATTTTCATTGTTTTGTGTGGCGCATATATATTGGCGCTCTCTTGTACCAATATTCATGTGTCCAAATAAATAAATAAATATCAGTTCAAGAAATTAACAAGTATCATTTGTTATTCCGAGTGACTATTGCTTTTTTCTTTAAAAATTATTTATTTTAGACTCTTCACTACATAATATTTATTTCACTGACAACATCCTACCTTATTCTGTAGTTTCACAACACTAAGCAAGTTACCTATCACTACAGTGGAAAGCCGTTACGTAATTTATTTTTGAACAAATACTTCAAGGTTACAATTGAGACTACACATTATTTTACATAAAATGATCGGAAATTCCCAGGTTAGGTATTTCTATCTATATATCATACTTTTTATCCTACTCTAATGTTATCACAAATAAATAGCTGGTTTAACTCCCTTAACAAGATGTTGTGATGAGTTAAATTAATGGTTGAATTTGTCACGCCCTGTCATAAATTTGTTTAAGTAATACTTATTAATTTCACATGATATCTATTTCCTAACTCCTCATACACTTTTTTTATCATCTACTGCCTAGTAATATTCTTTTTTAGTAGAAATAGATTTTGGTAATTCGGTAAGCTTAATTTTAGAAGTATTGTCTGCAGAATAACTGTCTACTTGTTACCAACGTATAGTCTGTGAGTCTAGCTCATAATACTGACTATATATTGGTTATATTATATACATGATGAAATAATTAATTTGATGAAACCACCGATTTAACTTAAATATTCGAAATGGTAATTTTTCAACTACTAGAAAATAGGATTGGATATATTACAACTCAATTAACAATGCTGATTATACACAAAATCATCAATCAAAATGTCTGTAATCAGATTACGAATGATTAATCATCATAATAATTGAAGGTTATAAATTAACCAATCATACATCTCAGTCTACTGTATCATTTGTGACTGTATTTATTGCGAAGTAACCTAAAAAATTCATTTGTTTTCTCATTTAGTTCACATAAATTACTAAAAAGAGTTGCCAGGTGATTGATTCCAACCAGTAGGAAGCTTCGTATGCCGGTTTCATGTTGATAGGAAAGACATGTCTCTAATCCTCAGGAATTTGGTGATCCCAGTGGGATAAAGTCTGAGTTATCCATTAGGATTATCAGTCTCAGAAATGAAGTGATGCCGTAGTAATGAGTGCCAGCTAGTAGGAAATCTCAGCCAGTCAGCTACAACGTAGGACCAGGCACATATGTGCATCGGTCCAAGTTGCCACACCTCATTAGCACAGCAAGATGAACAATGGATTCATAGAAGTAATTAATTTAGTAGTGGTAATATATAAAAGAGAGATTGTATATAAGGATATAGTACAGAAAGAAAGAATTAGTTCGTAGGAAGAAAGATATGAAATAATTTTAATCTTATAGTTTAAGGGAAGACAGAGTGTGTATACACCTACGCGATTGTGATCGATTCTGAGCCATGTCACCAAGAGTCTCCAACAATTGGTTACGATAGTCATGAGGACCCCAAACAAGTAGTCTGCATCTACCAACATGGCTTAGACTAGAAGTTAGTGACTTCAAGCACTGATGTCACGTTTTGGTTTGGCCTCCCCTAACTTTCTTCTATCCGTCTTCAACACTAGTCAGCATTGCGGGTCGTGGTACTCGGAATTTAGGCATACGCAACATGTGGCCCAACCATCTCAGTCGATGAGGATTCACAACTTCATCAACTGATTTACCATCATTCCCTAATACCCTACGTCTAAGTGATCAACAAAAAGTTCAGTTACCAATATAGAATAAACGAACTATGTTAGTACTACATTAATCAATGTGAAAGTCCGATTGTTTACTAACCAGCATATTTACATTTATAAAGTGAATACTTTAATAAACATAATACTGTTCATCACAGTTGGTGTTGAAAATAGTAACAAATATATTCATACTTTATAAAAAATGAACTAGCTACCTAAGTAATAATAATCAGTGGAATTATTTCAGATTTTAGGATACTTCAAAAGAAAAAAAACTTTTGACAATATCTTATTGTATACTGATGTTATCACTTCATTAAATAGAAGTATTTATATATTTAGAATCTACAACAAAATTTCTAGTAAATATATACCCAGTGAGAAGTGAGTAGTGATTTTCTTTCTTAGTTTGGAAATTTTCATCAATGCTCACCTAAAATCCTATACAGAATCATATTCAATTATTATGAATTAACATTATTTACGCTGAAATTGTATAAATTTCCTACACTAATCATCTTAGTAAACATTAATTGTTATGTATCACAGTAATAATACCGCTTTAGATTTTCACTTATTCCTCAAACTAGTTTATTGAAAAACTAATTAAGTACTATATATATATATATATATTTCGATTGTTACATGGAATGAATGTTTATTTCACAGTACATTATGGATTTACATCTTATATCCGGTTAGTAATAGAATGAAATATTCGATTATTAATAATAGCTACTTATACTATTCAAAATTGATGTAAACTATTCATTCAATCTATACACCCCTTTGTTGTTGTGCATAGCATTCGTTAGATATTGAAATACTACATATCTAGAATTAGTTCCTTGAAAAAACACTTATAAAAGAGTCATAGACAGATGTATTTAATATTGGTATACAACTATTATAGTTATTCATTAATAAGTTTTGATAAAATGAAGAGATTATTCCAAAATTTGTTATTATGCATATTATACTGTATGTATTTAAATTTCTGTTATGCTGATTCACATGGTGAAAAATTGAGTAAATCTGAGTTTGATATATGTGTTCAAGAATGTGGTAATCAATATGAAGAATGTTCTAAAGCAATACGTGAATTATGGAGAAATTTTCAAAAAAATAAAAAACAAATTATGAAAGTTATGAATAGTTGTTGTTTACGTGGTCAAGGTGATCATTCACAACCATCAACATTAAGTTTTGCTACATGTGTACGTGATAGATGTGGTGCAGAATTATGGGGGTAAGTGATTAAAATGATTCTTTTTTCCATATTTTACAAATATGTTCAAATAAAGGAATCAATTTTATTGGTTTCATTATATGTTATAGTCTATTACACATTGTTATTCACTTGTAATGCTATAATCAATTCATCTCTTCTTATTCAAGTTTACTTATATGATCCACTTATAAAATAGATTTCTTTCACTCAGTTAGTGTCTATTTCAGTAACATTTTCATCATCATTTGACTTTAATAGTAAAGTTAATGTGGTTAAATGAAATTTATATTGGTGCTATAAATGTTCATAATAGCTGTCGATGAAAGTAATACAAGCTACATTAAAAAGTATGCCATAGTCTTAATCTACAGCAGTGTTATTATTTTTTAATAGTTTTGGGGAAGGAAGTTTTAATAAATTGCTTCTAAAATCAAAGTATCCTGTTTCATATAGGTAATCTTGGTATCCATAAGAATCAGATTGTTCAAACAATTAATAGAAACACAGATACACTAAATAAGATTATTATTGTTTTTATAGCAATGTAAGAGTGTTTACCAAAACCAAGTGTTTAGTTATGAATAAAAGTATGTTCTAATGTTATGCTTTAAACGTATGTAGGTTTTCTTTTTAATGTAAGTGAATGGAATATCAAGGCAGCCGCTCCATCATACACTAATAATTTCAGTCATGAATATGAATAAAGTAGAAGTTCACACTCTTAGAATTTATGAGTCCTCAAAAGGATGACATGATTTTCAGCATTATTATGTTATATTATGGAGGCATGACTTCGTTATTATAGTATTTGTAATATCAAGCGTTTTGTTAGAATTTCGTTCTCTGAGTTGGGTGGTCTAATTCTGAAATAATCTTTGCTTTCTGAACGATGATGTCAGCACAAATGTCAAATAGAAAGTATATGACTGTTTACATGGAACCAATAAGAAATAATGGAATAATCCGCTGCTTATACGAAAGCTATAGTAGTCATTATGAAGTAAGAATATAGGAGAGCTCATAATTAGTATTGTTTTATCGTGACTAATATTTATTAGATATATTCATAGGACGCGTAAACTGATGTGAGAAATTTAGATAAACTATTTTAAAATGTTTTTTATTCATTTCAATAAATTTTGAATTCATTGCCATTTATTATCTGCATATTTACGCGTAATGATAATTGTAAGAAGAAACATTTAGCCTGAATAAAAATTAATTTTATGAACAATCTAGTTTAATAAATATCAGCCACTCACTAGTAACTTCTCTTGCTAAGAAATTTCTTAACTTTATAGTTCAAAATAATGAGTTATGGCTTTAAACAAGGAAAATTTATCGGGTATTGGTGACCATCGATGATACTAGATGATAATCTTTCTCTATCACAAATAGACTAGATTAGAAAGTGATGACTGTTCAGTAGCTATCCGATGATGTCTTTATAGAGAGATAGGAATATACTTTGGTTACAACTTTGTGTCAGGTTAAGCTGTTGATAAGGTTCAAGTCAGGATAAAAGCAACTGGCTAACATACTATACTTTTTGTATTATTCTTGTTGATTTCTGTCTGTTTATATCCTGATACTACTAATATCTTAAGGTGCTAACTTTTATATTAAAACCAGATATTTCGATCATAAACTGAATATTAGTTCCAATTAATACAATCCTGAAAGGGGACAAATATTAAAAACGGAAAGTTTCGATACAGAAAACTGGTCAAATTAATTATGTAATAAGTAGTCTGTATGACTAAAAAGTCTTTGAGATACAATCAAAGTCTTTAATTATGTTACTTTCAGAAATGAACGACTTCAAAAACTTAATCAGTAGCCAAAGTCTGCTCTCTTATCATAATAAATATCTGAATCATATTTCTTAAGTTTAAAACCATTTGAAGATTTCCACTATTTCATGAACGAGGTTTGGTTGGATTTATATAGTGGTTTAAATACTTTGTTTGTTCTAATTTATCAAAGTATAGAAAATGTTGTATCATAACAAAACTTTTTGAATGTTTTACTCCACCAGTGAATTAGTGAAAAAGTCAATCATTAGATTATAATGACTGCAGAACATAGATAAGTGAAACTATTCATTTTGAACACAATTATCTTAGATCTTTACTTAGTTACTAGTATTTTAAATAATTTAATAAATTGTTCAGTGAATAAACGAATCTTGATACGATTAATATAAACACCTTGGGTACTGGTTAAGAGTAAAATATTTATTGAGGCTCAATAATTATACATATCTACATCTTGATCTTGTCCTCATTTGAAAAACAAATCCAGTAAACATCAACTGAAATTCTAGTGTGTTATTCATTGGATTATTAAGTCAGCAAGCTATCACTTGTTCAATGAGCATGATATATTTACATATTATTCATTAAAAGCTGTCCTTTATTCTATTGTGGATATTCAAAAGTTTAATAATGAATTTCCTCTTATAAAACCGGGTAATATATCAAGCAGCCAATTTATAAACAAAGATTGACTACATAGATTCTGAATGTAAACTAATGATAATCATAATCATAAAAATTATAAGTATTCTATTACTGTTCTATAAAAATGAATAAATGGAAGCAACTTTTGTGAAACCATGAGAAGTATACATCATTATTCGAAGCGTATAGCAAAAACACATGTCATTTATTGTTTCATTAGATATTGCTTTAACAGAGTGTATTCATAACTCCACATATGGTCAAATTTCGAACCGACAGGTTTCTCAACCAGAACGTTACCTTTATATCAGTGAGTTAGGAAACAATAGCTTACTTTTTCAACTTCAATTAATTCGCGATGGTGTAAGACAATCATCTAATGATATTGGTGATATAAATCTCATGGTTGGATTCAAGTGATAATGATATCTCAAACAACTTCTTTAATGTTTCCTGATTTTAAAGGGTCCCCTTGTCTGCAATGAAATTTATCTTCAAGTAAAAATTCTGGATGCCTCACAGAGCAGACAGAAAAAAATTGACATTTTAACTACACAAAAATATCTCTTGAGGTAGTAAGTCTAAACTTATATAGTTCTTGAGAAAGTGTCCAGGCATACTTTCGATAAATAAGTGGGAGAATTCTGGTTAGGAAATGAGCTGAAACTTTCTATGGTATGGATCTACAAATGTTACAATGATACTTTGAATTGTGACATTCATGTCATGGATAAGCTTGTTGTTCATCGTTAGCATGAAGACAAAAATTAATCGAAACTATGAATTTGGATACAAAATCTCAACTTAGTGGTCAGAATATGTTGTGCTTGCTACAAGACCCAATAGTCGCAGGTTCAATACTCCGTAGCGTTATGGGCGATAAATTATAATTATGATAAATAATACCTCAAAATGATTATTTGATAACATACTTTTGAAAAAATCAGATTACATTCTGATATGAAGGCCTTACTGAGATCAGCTTGATTTGTCGCTGACTGACCTTAATTAAGATAAAATTGAAAACCATGAAGTACTAGATAGTCGTTTCGTCGTAGTATGGTGTTCCTCAATAGTGCACACCCATAACCTGAATAGAACGAGAAACCAACTATTAGATTGGCATCCTGTGGTAAACATTCAAAACCATGATTAATTTGTAATATATTGGGCCATGATCTAATGGCATTAGTGAAGACTCCACTCTCGATATCTCCAATCTACAGAGGTCAGGACTTTATGCTAGAACTTCACTGACTCATCCCAAAGTAAGTCGTTGGACAGCTTACGAATATCTTATTGATGTAAGGATTCCTTGGAAACTAATTTAATTCGTAAGTATTAAGGTTGGACCGACGACAATAGATTAATAATAATTCCTAGTTTTTAATAGTAACTAGACTATGCTTAATGGGTGACGAGTACTACTTAAAGAATAAAGAAAAACTAACCAAATCCAATTCTTTATCTCTCTCAAATAACGATTGTACAAGATTTCAGATTATAATATTTTTACTACTATTTCGCCATCTCTTTTCGATAGATGTAACATTAAGAAACGTCATAGTGGTTTTCTAACTGAACAAGAAATTGAATATATCAAACAAAAAGAATCCCGCCAAAAAAAGAAAAATTTCACAGTAAAGTAAAAGAATTCTCAAATAGAAAAAAAGCAATATATAATGACTTTCAGTTAATAAACACATTCTAATTGTAACTGTAATATCTCTATTTTTCAATTACAATATTATTTGATGCATAAATTCACCGAAAATATGTATTTACTTTTGCATTAAATGAAAATAGAAAACTGTTATCATTTCTATTTTTTACTAACTGTTAATGTCGCCTATTTTCTTGTTAGTTACATGTAAGTGTTTCGTCACGAAAGCCTTGTGAGTAATCCATTTCACTCAACATATTATGTATGAACAGAAACTAGAAGAATTAGAGTCAACAATCTAAGTCTTTGTTTTCATAATAAATTTATAACATCTTTATCTCTCCCTTGGCCTTAATAAATGATTTTATTTCTATTTTTACGGCAAGAATATAATTTATAGACGAACCAATCAGATTTAGGATAACAGGTCTTGAATTTTGGCGCGAAATTCATTCACCCATTCGTCTGAATAGTGTCTTGGCATTTTAGTTGATGTCAGTTCGTGATAAAAACCATAAACGTAATTCTTAACTTTAATCATCAACTGTAAATCATTGTCTCTATTCTACTAACTGTTTTAAAACCTTCATTTAGCCTTATTAAGTAGGTAGACACTCAAGATCACTTTGGCGTCTCTCAAAGGTCGTCTATAAATTATAGTCTCACCGAATTTTCTAGCGCAATGTAAAATGTTGAATATATAACTTTATCTAAATTATCAGATAATACTGTCTATACATATGTCGAATTCATTATCTAAAACCTAGTAATGGGTATTATGGAAAAAATATTTGTGTATTATTAGTTCGAGTTTGTAATATACTTAAGAAAAGCACGTCTAAATTTAAGCTACGATTGGATTCTATCAACAGGAAATCAGTAAAATTGGAATTTCACAAAGGTTGTTTAATAAATATACTAATTATCAAATAAAATAATTTCAAGATGGTAATTGAAAATGGTATAGTAATCTGAAGTGTTTAATCAAATCATGTTCATCCACTAATACAATATGACAAATGTGTTTAGTTAAATAATATACTATAAAATTGTATTCATTATAAGATGACTGAAGATAGCTACCATAAAGCTATACGCCTTAACTAACTAATCATTGATAACATTTAGTGACAACTCTTTTAAACTCATGGAGTTCAATGGTTTTAGTTTATAGCTAGCAGCTTCAACGCTTAATGAGGGAACAACGTATAATTATTTCTTAGTTTGAGTTCACAGTATGATTTGTAAGGTTTGAAATTCACGGTTTACAGACTTCAAAAAAACTTTAACCATTGTTTAGTATTAATCTGTAACACCAAGTAAACGCTTGTTTTTTTTTTTAAAAAAAGAAACATGTTACAATCAACAAAGTGCCACAAAGTGAACTATCTGTTTTATTCTAAAGCTACTTGAGAAACGTATATTACAAGAAAAGAACAACAAATATTACTTTTATCATTAGTTTTATCTAAATAATTATGAAAATAAGCAAACATTTGAAAAAATGTAAACACACGTTTATTTATACAGAATAGGCAGGAAATACAATCAGAATCAATTGTGTGATAAGTTCTTTGAAGTCATTGAAATATTCCATTTCAGTCATTCTTTTCGTAGACTAATTACATATTACTACAACTGAAAGAAGAAATGTACAATTACAAACTTATTTCTCTTCAAAGAAAATAATGCTAAACATGAATCGATAGAAAGAAGGTATAGTGTTTAATAGATGATTCGTGAAGACGTTATAATATTAGTACTATAACACATCTTCAATTAGCCCGTTGATCGATCGAGAAGCAGATGGGACCAGAAAAAGCGTGTATTATGAGAAAAGTACAAAGAGTAGACGTAAATATCACAATATAGATATGTACTATATCAAATATGTTTGTCTGTACTCATTGGTCAACTACAAGCTAAAGAGGATGGACAAAATAGAAAAGATTTGTTCAAACTGAAGATAATGGTTCTTGTTTTTAAATTGATATCAACTAAAGAAACATTGTTAATCATGATTGTTATGAATCAAGTAGTTTCATACTATGAACCGATCAATCTTCTATATTTAATTAAAAGTTTGTTTTAATCTGCTTACTTATTAATTAATGCTAAATAATGTAAAAAATCTCATTCTAAAAGTTGGTTGGCAAAACAAGTAACTTATGGTTTATTAAATTATACAAATGCAGATGTAATTAACACAAGAATAGAGTTAAAGATGACATAGATCTACAACTATTAGTAATGAACATCAAGTACTTAAAACCTTTTGTTACTTCTGATTTTACATATTATAACACTGAGATAGTATTTTCATATCGAAATAGTTTTCCCTATTGTCATACGAATTCGTCAGACAAAAAAATTATAATGCAAGTTTACGGTTAAGATTATTTATATATATGTGCATTTTACAGCTCCGCCTGTAGCCATTCAAAGGATACTGCGGGTTTTAGGCCTAGATAAAAGAGGAAGATTGAGCGTGAAGTTAGCGACCCCATCCCATATATGGAAAATTTGCTAAAAATATGTTAAAAAGAAAACAATCAAACCATTTAAAATAAGCCTTGGGAGTTGAAGAATCTTCATTTATAATAATGAAGCCTTATAGTGAAAGCCGAGATTCTTCGGAAATCACGAGGCTGATGCCACTTCTGACGATTACAGAATATGCCAATATAGGTATATGGAATGTCCGAACAACGTAGAAGACTGAGGGAACCAATTAAGTAGCTACGGAAATGAGGATATACAAATTGGCTTCTGTAGAGGTACTACTGTACTTTGGTCATGAAGAGAACGCCTCACATACTCAAGAAGTTGAGTTGACACTATCCAAAGAAATACCAAAAGCACTTAAAAAATGGTAATCTCGTGGATTTGGAAACTTCAAATCATTCTTCAAAACAAACAAGGACGGGATCACAACGAATTTCACGTAGCGATATGGACATGAAGACGATAAAAATCAGTTTAATGGGAGGGTGCAATCGATCAAAGAGAAGTGCCCAGGAAAAGACATGTCTATCCAATGGGAGATCTAAACATCAAAGTTGGGATGGACAACAACGAGTATGAAGATGTCATGGGACGATATAGAGTGTGAGAAAGCAATGAGAATGTTGATATATATGCAAATTTATATGCCTTCGACAAATTGGTTATGAAAAACTCTATCTTCCCTCACAAACTCACACACAAATTTACATCGGTCCCACCGAATCACACTACAAGGAACCAGATAGACTACATCTGCATGAATAGAAACTTCAGAGGACCCATGGAGGACGTTAGGACAAGGAGAGGAGCAGATGCAACCTCAGATCACCACCTGGTTGTGAGCAAGATTGAACTTAAACTAAAGAAGTAATGGACAACTGGACAAACAGCATTGCAAAAGTTTAATACAGTCTTCCTTCCAGATACTGACAAAGTCAACTAACTCAAGATAGCTCCCTACAACAAGCTCTAAGTTTATAAGACCTACTCAAAGAAGAGGAAATTACTATGGAGAATAAGTGGAAGCGGACTAAACAAACAATAACTTCAATTTGTCAGGAGGTTCTGTGCCGCAAGAAGCATCATCATAAGGAATGGATCTCTACCAAAACCTTGAACAGAATTCAAGAAAGGAGGAACAAAAAACAGCAATTAACGACAACCGAACAAGAACAGAGAAAGTCATGCACAAACCGAATTTACAGAGGCAAACAAGAGAGTGAAGAGGAGCATCAGAGCCGACATGCGGTAATACATGTTAGACCTAGGGATGACAGAGGAAAAGGCTGCAAGAGAAGGAAATATGGGACATCTATACGGCACAACGAAAAACCTGGAAGGGAAATACAGCAAACTAGGGCGGCCAGTTAGGAATAAAGAAAGCGAGTGTTATGACTTATCCCCCTGTCAATCATTACGTGACAAGATCGTTGATCAAAATACCGGCTTCTGTGACTTTTTCCCTGTGTTATACCAATGATACGTCACCCAGTACTGGCACCGTTGATTCAACTCTGAATCCTTACTGATCCTCAATATAGTAGTTTCTCGCCTAGCCCTGCCCATTGAGTCCAGAACACAACGTCCACCTCCACTCTATGAATAATATATTTCAAACATACTCAGTTTACATGCAAGCAGATCAGACCGCATCACACTATACAAAAATAAGTTATACAAGACCAAACAAAGTGGCTGTGAGTATGAGAGATTGTAACTAATAGATTGTGAATAAATTAAGAGTGGTAAATCGTATAATAGTAGATAATGAGTCAAACAAAAACTTGTGGTAAAGGGAATATATATATACCAGTTAAAGCATTGAAGTTACACATAGAAGTAACTGCAAATATACTCCACATTTTATTCAGATAGATTTGGGAAATAGAACAAGTGTCGACAGACTGGAAAGAAGGATAGCTCATCAATATACCAAAGAAAGGTCTCAGCAACTGTGAGAGATACAGAAGCATAACATCACTAATAGTACCGGGGAAAAGTTCTCAATAGTGTTGTTGAACTGAATGAAAGATTAAGTAGACACCTAACTTCGTAATCGACAGGCTGACTTCCGTTAAGACTGATCGTGTACGGAATAAATAGCGACACTACGGATCATTGTTGAGTTTAATTCCTCACCACACATCAAATCCCTTGATCACGAAAAGGTGTTCGACAGTGTGGATAGGAGAACATTATGAAACGTTTTTGAACATGATGGTGTACCTGACAAGACTGTCACAATCATACGGATTTTTTATGAAGGACTGTACCGCGAAGTCCTGAACGGAGGGCGGCTCATGAATGTATTTCAAGTGAAAACCGGTGTTAGACAACGGTGTTTACTCTCACCCTTTATTTTCCTTCTATTGGTCGGATGGATTATGAAGATCTCTATATCTGAGGGTTAGTATGCAATACCATGGACAGGTTGAATGCAGCTAGACGGTCTGGACTTCGCAGATGACCTAGATCGCCTATCCTACACAGAAGAACACATACAGATCGAGACAACCAGTGCAGCAGCGGCTTCTGCATCAGTAGGCCTCAACATATACAAGGGAGAAAGTAAGATCATCAAATAAAACACGAAGAACACCAACGCAATCACACTTGGTGGAGAAACTCCAGAAGAGCTGGAAGCATTCACATACCTGGTCAGCATCATCGATAAACAAGAACGATCTTATGCAGATGTAAGGGAAAGGATTGGAAAGTCAAATGTAATGATCCCGTACATTCTTTAATTGGAACATATGGGACTCAAAACAAATATCAGCTAACATCAAAGTTAGAATCGTCAATACGAACGTCAAAACAGCTATACTGTACGAAGCTGAAACTTGGAGAACTATTACGACCATCACCAAAAAGTACAAGTATTTACAAACAGTTACCTACGCCAGATACTCAACATCCGTTAGCCAGATACCATCGTCAACAATCTACTATGGCAAAGAACAAATCAACTTCCAGCTGATGAAGGAATTAAAGGAAGATGCTGAAGGAGGGTAAGACATACATGGTTGATATCATAAAACTGCATCACGAGGCGAGCCCTTACTTGGAATCCTGAAGGCAAAAGATAAAGAAGAAGGCTCAGACACACATTGCTTCGGAAATTGGAGGTAGACGTAAAAAGAATTAATGTCAGTTGGAAACAACTGGAAAAGAAAGTCCAGGACAAAGTTTGATGGGGAATACTGGTGGGAGGCCTATGGTTCTGCATAAGGGGTAACAAGCGTAAGTAATTAAATCTTGATGGTGTACGAGACTAGAAATCGCTTTTAAATAGGTCTCACAGAATATAAGTTATGGTGTATGGAGTTCAATTCAAATGCGTAAACATACTCTATCAGGGAAAAATAAACAATAACTTCATCTTCGTTTTTATTACGATTTAAACATTAGGAAGTTGTAATGTTAGCTAATCGAAGACAGTGTAAAATCCGGTATGAATGAGAATCGATCGAAGTTGGTACATTCAAGATAAGTACACGGGTAAAGAAAATGAGCGAGGCGAGAGGTGAACGGGGTAACAACAATACTCACCAAAGTGAAAAGTTGATATTAAAAAAATAATTGAAAATGAATGAATAAGATCACAGATTAAACGGTAAGGGATGAAATTAAGCTCGAAATCTAAGGGGACGTAACGGATAAATACAACTAAATTATCACAATCGATTTTGAAGAATGTAACTAAGCATCTTCAACCAGAAAGCTCACCCCTCTTCAGTACGACTTTGTCAGGTGTCAGTGACGTTACAAACGAATTTCCTATTTCGATTTGATCACCTTTAAACCTTATAATAACACATCCCTATGGTATCCAGGAAAGATTATATTCACTGGTCGTAATAAGTGACTGTAAGACATTGAATAATATCAGATTGAAAAAACACAATTTCTCAGACGATAGTAAAAATGCTATGCTATGTCATAAAGTCTGAACAAATTTTAAACTTACGACTTTGTAGTATGTAGATAATCTTCATATGAAACTCGACCGTCACAATCTTGGTCAAACTCTCTGAAAACAGTACGCAGTAGACCAGATGGTAAAGATGGTAAGTATCTACTCCATATTTTGTGTAAATCATTTATCACAACAAAGTCCTTTGAATCTAGATCTAAACAATCAAATGATAATCTGTTGTGTTTATCAATATGTGGAAGGTTATTCTGAAAATGTTTCTGAAGCATTTGGATAGAAGAAAGAAAACTATTTACAATCAGAAAATAAAGAGTTTACAAACCCGGAAAATGTTAGGCCAATTGGCTCACCATCGGGATTTGATTCAAAAAATGATAAAATACATTTCATCTCTTCCTTATTCGGTTTCCTTCCATAAAGTTCGATAAACAACATTTTACAGCCTTCTCTGTTCACGTAAAATCCATCGGAACAGCTATAATTGCTAAAAACTTTATGCAAGAAACTGGACATATTAATGGAGTGGTTCGGATAAAAGATTTGATAAGGTTCAGCTAGCTGGTAAAGAACAGTTCATGAGAACATCCTACCAGTCAAACATTATTGTGGGAAAAATCTATAAAATAAAAAGATAGACAGTAATCTAGAGCACTAGTAAACTGAAACACAAGAAGCATAAACATAGAAAATCACTGGCATAATTCTTAACCACTTAAGGAATTATTTAAACATGTTCATGAAATTCGACTTAACATCAATAAAACACGCTTATAATATAACTAGAATCAAACGGTTACAGTAAGCAGTCAGGCAGAATAACATTGGATTAGCCTGAGAATATATAAACGAATTCGAGAAGTTCATTCGAACATATACTGATCGCTTCGTGATGATGATGCTTAATTAGTAAGGTTAAAAAAGTTACACAAGAAAAAGTCATAGAAATTACATGGCCTAAGGTAATGAGTCTTAATTAACAAATTAAAATCGTATGTAAAAAGTAGAAATTGTTGTGTCGTGGTAATTGTGATAGTGATGATGATAGTAACAATATCTGTTAATAAGTATAATGTGTAAAATTAGAAAGATGAACGTATAATTAGGAATACGACAGTATCACAGGAAAGCATTACAAATCTATTCGTTGATGTGAGGTCAAACCTAATGATAAGTCACTGAAAAGATATGCCTTGAGCCAAATTGAATGTATGCCACTGAGTTAAAAAAAGATCCTATAGAGATTATATTCCACTGAAGATTTACTTCAAAATCTAAAACATTCATAATCGAAATATGTTCACGAAGAAAAAAAAGAGAAATAAGGTAGGAATCAATCAAATCGAAGGACTAGGTAACCAATCATTTGAACCTGACTTACCTAGCATTTGTAGCTGGTGCGCTTTTAAATTTATTTTTTTTAGTTTGGACCTAGTAACCCACCTCAATTTGATTCTTATTCAAAGTTTTGTAATAAGCGTAGATATTAGAATCATTTGAAGACCGATTTTTAGTTGAAAATCTAATTATCCCAACACAGGGTTTAGTAGTATCAACAGATTTCAAGCTTGTTGGATTTTGATGTTGTGTTCAGTCGATATGCAGTCTGTTACATTCAAACATGACCCTAGTTTTCAGAATCTTGTCTGATCATTCGTCAGAAGGCTAATTTTATTTGTTACCAACCTTGTCGAAAAATTACAGTACCTTGTCTCCTGCAGTGACCATAAAGCTTTCATTAGATTCTAATTTTCAGATGACATTAATTTTCTGAGTAAACATGCTTCTTATGTGATGTTTGTTGCTTGTAAGCTAATTGCAGCTGTTAATTAATGTGGTTTTGAACCGTTCCAGTTCTAAATTTGTTGACCGAACCTTGTGTCTGGAAAAATAGATTCTTGAACTAAAAGTCTGTCTGTGCATAACTCTTCTCAAACATATTTACACATATTAGAACTAAAGAATGTAAGAAATTGAATCCTCTACTTACAGCAAAAAGTAAAACGTAATTCAAAGTAATGGGGTGAATAATTAGGTTTAACGTTGTAGTAAATCTTCCTAATGTAAAAAATGAAATACAGTGGTTTCATTTAGTGAGGCAAACACCAGACAGTGAATTTCTGTCATCTATAAATTATTTAGTTTTCAGTAAAGATGTGTTAGTCTATAAAATATGTGAGTGAAAGTGGTTGTCAGATGAACTTCAAGTCCGCAAACACTAATTAGTAGATTCTAAATTATCGTTCAAAGAACAGTTCATTGGCCGAGTGGGAACTTATGGCGAACTGTCATCAGAATTGATAACCTCAAGTGGTGCTTGTCAGGGCTGTCCACTCTCTCCATTCTTGTTCAACTTTGTCGTTGACGTGCTTTTAAAGATAACACTCTCCTCATCTAGATTTCCAGGGGTTGAACTTCTACCGGGAGATTCACTTTTTGACCTAGAATATGCCGATTACATAGTTTTATTTGGTGAAGACTCTGACAAAATGCAGAGTCTTCTGACCATCGTAAGCAACAGTGCAAGCATATTCGGGATGCGATTCTCCCTTTTGAAATGCAAATTGTTGCTTTAGGATTGGGTTACATCGACATCCGAACTAATGATAGGGAGTGAAGTAATTGAGCGTGTCAATCGCTTCACTTATCTTGGAAGTCTCATCAGCCCTTGTGGTCTACTGTGTGACGAAATCTCAGCACGGATACAGAAGGCTCGACTAGCTTTTGCCAACTTGCTTCACTTATGGCGTAGGCGAGATATCCGTCTATCAACCAAAGGACGTGTTTACTGCGCAGTAGTTCGTTCCGTCCTACTTTATGGCAGTGAAACATGGCCGGTAAGAGTAGAGGATATTCGTAGGTTACTAGTATTTGATCATAGATGTCTTCGAAATATTGCTCGTATATCCTGGGACCATCGAGTAAGTAACGCAGTTGTTAGGAAACTGGTACTAGGTAAGGATGGCAAATCAATTGATGAAGTAGTGAAACTTCATCAGTTGAGATGGCTGGGACACGTGTTACGTATGCCCAACCACCGACTGCCTCGACGAGCGATGTTCAATGGTATAGGAGTAGGTTGGAAGAAAGCTAGGGGCGGCCAAACCAAAACATGGCACAAGTTCATGAAGTCACTGACAAGTGGACTGAGTCATGTTGGTAGGTGTAGACTATCTGGTTGGGGACCGCGAGATGATAGCAACCAATGGTTAGAGACCCTGAATGACATGGCTCAAAATCGTTTGCAATGGCGCAGGTGCATCTACTCTTTGTGTTCTCCCAAATTTTGATCTCCTTATTCCTCCTTGTCTCTTTTATTCTCCTCTCAAATTTACTTCACTGTATTATACTCATTAAGTAACATCTCCAAACACTAATCTTCCCGATTACTGCTTATACTCTTGCTACCTCTACCACTACGGGATTTGAATCGACAACTGCATCTCTGTGCTAAGGTGGTGTGGCAACTCGAACTGATGTACGTACGTACGAAGTTCTACGTTGTTACTGACTGACTGACTGATTGTATATTGATGTTATCAGTTCATTAAATAGAAGAAGTATTTATATATTTAGAATCTATTTTGTTGGTGACTGACTGATAGTCCATCGCTTGTTTGAACTAAAAGCAATTAAGGTAATGGCAAAACATTATGATCACATCTATCAAATTTCCTATACCAATGTACCAAAGGTGAAATTTCTTCTCGCTTTTGAGTTTGAAGTAATAAATAAATGAGTTTCTTTATTATTTTTGTGACTTATTTCACTCAAAAATCACAAAAGCGAAAGTGTTGCTCACACATGTATGCATGTACCTGTATGTAGTTTCGATAAGGACCACCTGAACCATAGAGGCATTTTGTCTTTTAATACGTACGTTTTCTAAACCAATTTGATAGAGTGATATATGGAGCACAATCTGAGGCCATAACAGTCGATACCTAGATCTATGATGGAAGTATCAGGAAGTTGGCTCAAATAAATAAACATTCGGCGGCCATCCGGGTTTGTATGTAATAAAATATGGACGATATCTGATAAACTAACAACGAGGACTTTCGTAAACTATAGAGGCAGAGTTAACCGCATAAACTAATCTAAACTTAAAATTAATTGTTAATAGCACACACGTCAGTGTATACTAAGAATAATCCAGTCGGGAATTAGATGGGGTCGAATGGGTTTACATGAAGGCAAATAAATTAAAGATTTATCCAAACGAAAGCCTAAATGTTTCAAACATTCGTCCTTACACTCTGCATAGTTTTACCCAAGTGAAATATATGGCTGACTAAGCCTTGCGTATCAACAATTTCTCAGTGCCAGATAAAGAATACATGGGTGATGTTCAGTATTTAATGGTTTAAAATTGTTGTGAATGGAACAGAAGAGATATACTAAACGGATTTCTGTGTCTACCAAAAACGGATCGGTGATTCTCCCAAGTAGAGGTTGTTTTGTAAGGCATTTTGCTGTAACATGCATGAGTATTTATGAAGTGTACACTGCCGTTAAGACTAAAGATATTGGTACATCAATTTGTGGCGCTCAATAGATTTGTGATACGTATGTGATTCTTCCTGGTGCGTGTATTTGAAAAATCCTTGTGAATTGGCTATAATTCAGTGTGTTCATAACATAAGAAGCAGATGTCGTGAAACTAAACTTGGATTATTTAAGTAAAAGCTTATGTTTTGAATTGATCCAGTGGTTAGTTGTAATTATTATTGTTTCTGAGATCTACTAATGTTAAAGAATTGCCAATCAAAGACCAAATACTTTCGATGAGTCTAGCATCAGGCAAGAACGAAACTGTATGTGCCACCGCTAATAGTGCATATTTGGACGTACTTAGAATCAAAAGTTCTCGATTATCGCGATTGAAATCAACACCAGTCCTAAATTTCAGTTATCCGTAGGAGCCTCATAGACAAATGTTTATAGTCTAAAAAGATCATGAGTTCCTAGTATTACTGGATGGATTAGAACTTCTCATTATAGCCGTGACTGAAACTTGTTTAGTGCATAATTCTGGCATTATTTCTGAACTATTATTTTATAGCTTACTGAGGATTGGTAGGGAGTAGGGTGGTAATATAATTAAACGTAGTAGGGATATATGTTTCTTTGCTTGAGTGTCATCGAGGAAGAATTCGTGAGGCAAAGAGGTGTAAACGCACTTTTACAGATTTTATATTTATTCTAGGTCTCATCAATCGTACGTAGGCTAATCCGCTCTATTCATGACTTGTATTGGGAAAAAATAAGTCCTGAATTAAATATAGGTGCCTGACATTGAGAGACACTGATGCAACGGACATCAGTTGGAAAGATTTGTCCTCAGTCGGATCTGATTGTATCTTCGATACAGGTTTCTTCAAAATTTCTGAAGCGTGGTTTAGTACAGTATGAGGCCAGACGCACATTTTGTGAACAAAAATCTTCTTTCCTTAATTTGGTGCCCGCACATTAAAGTTCGAAAATTCTATCACAACTTACAAAGAGTGATTAGGTAGTTCTGTTATCTTAGGATTAAATCCTATGATAGGCTCGACTGGCCAAGCTTAACCTTTTCCCGTTGTCATATCGCAGAACTAGAGGCGACTTGATTACAGTCTACAAATTGCTTAGTGATAAATTTGCACCTAACATGCCCTCATTTTTCTTGTCTTCCAAAACAGAGAATTTACGAGGACACTCCATAAAAGTTCGCAAGCCGAGGACAAATTACTTGTCAGCTGACTATCGACTTTCCCATCGAATCATCGAGTGGAATTCACTACCTCAGCACGTGGTTGGGGCTCCATCGGTCGACTCTTTCAAAAGAAAGTTGGGTCAACTGAGAGACCACCATTGCCAGGACTAACATAGGCCATCGAGCCTCCTGTCCTTCCCAAACTGAAACTGAACACTGTATATAAAGTCAAAAACGTCTTAGCGTCGACATGACTAAAAGCCCTACGTATTGACCATAACGTTCTAAAACCTTTGGCGGCTATTGCACGGCAGTGTGCAGTAGTCTTTAAGTCTTGGCTAACGATGACTCCTAAGTCATTATATATCTGGACGACAGGTAGCTCAGTGTTATTCATCGTGTATGTATCTGTACAGTCACTGAGCTATATAGATCCACTTATTGCAAAACTTGTAAATAATGACTAGGCTCTCAGCATCATCAGTTGGAAGTACTTAACAGAAGTGACTTGACGACACTTCATCTCTACTAGTCTTTAACCACTATGAACAGTAGAACCCACAACTAAAAGGCGGAAATACATCACTTATTTTATACAGGAGGACAAGCCTCTGATACTGCACTACATTTCTACAATAACAAATGTCTGTCCTCCTGCAAAATGTACGTGTCCACATTGCAAATGACTGTAATCCAAAAAATAGTGCGAGGTTTACGTACGTATAAGAGGAAAGTTTCTTATTTCAAACGAGATACTTATGAGTATCTCGCTAGTGCATTTGAACCATACATATCCAGTATTTCAAAACACCGGCATACTTGTTTCTTCTAAAACAACCCGGTTTTACTTGTTAATGTTGTGCTTTTCTACTTACTACTTATCCAAAGAATAATCGCTGAGGAAATTAAAATATACGTTTTCAGCCTGGTGAGCAGTCAACTAAAAGAAAATATTCAACAATGCATAGTTATTTCACCAAGTAGTAATCCTCAAACTAAACAACCCCCCAGCTTACTGTTACCAACGTTACAGTGTACAATTTCATAAGAGAGAAAATCCTTAAAACTCTCTCAAGGTCATGGTGCAATATCCAATACATTAATAGTAAACCCCAGTTTTCCTGACCAGAGATAAATGAATTTTAACTCTGAAATTTCGAAGCCCGAGTTGCACAAAAATATACTTGCGTAAAAAAGACATACTAGTGAACAATTCGATCAGTTATCTGGAAATACTGTTAGAATAAATCCTGTTGAGATATACATATATTCTCAGCTCATTTGGATTCTAGCTAACTGAAACTAACCAATTCAATGTACTGATTCAGCCAATCGATCAATAATATTAAATCAAAGGTCTTTTCACCTTGCCGTGTCGCTAGTTTTACGATACGATCACTTTACCAAGCTAAATTAACAGTGTTATATAACGACTGAAAGAGCAAATACAGATATATTTCCAC